ATTCACAAAAGAGATATATTAAAGGCCTAAATATTCCTTGTACATAATGTTAAAGAGGATTATTATCACGCTGTAGACGAGTTCTTGAATTGTTATTTTTTTTTTTTTTTTTTTCATTGCTGTGTTTGCTTATGTTATGCCTTATAACGATTACACTTTAAGGGCTGTCGGAATCGCATTGGCTACATGCATACTTAAAAAATGAATGGCCCACTTTAAGGGTATAAAATTTGATTGCAAGTAATTAGGGACGGCTTGACCCTTATACCTTTGTGTGGTGACGAAAATTTGGCAGACTCCAACCCCCAAAATTTTATAAATAATTATTTTATATTTATTTTAAACATTTTCAAAATCAATCTTAGGCTAATTACTAAATTTAAGGATTGGCAGTCAAAAAAAGTTAAAAGTTAAAGTGTACATAGACAATACAAAAAAAGTGCATGGTGGATTTTTGTTTAAATTTAATAACATTAAACAGACATTAATAATTAGTATAATTTATAGGTATCAGTATATAATTATTTTTAAAAAGTAATAAAATTGAGAAAAAGTGGTCCGGTTTCGACGGCCCTGCTACGTGATGCGCGCCAGGACAGACCCCCAATTCTACCTTACTGGTAAACAGTGGTGGCGCCAGGACCTGCCCGACGGAGGGGCTAAAGGCCCTGACGGGGGGGGGGAGGGGCTAGTGGAGCGAATCGAGTCTCACTTGGCTGGGGGCGGCCTAGGGCCCGCGGTGGGGGTCCAGGGGGCTTCGCCCACTGGAAGCGGGTATCTGATGAATTATGGCGATTTTTTATTACTTATTTGATAGGCATCGACTTACTATAATATGACTTCATGTTTAAACTATGCTTTCTAATGTTGAAATCAGCTTCCAAAACCAAAAAAATCTTGCTTTTTGAATAAAGCAAGAAACAAAGAGTATGCGATGTAACCATCTAATTTAATTTCAAATCCTCATTCTTGAAAGTGAAATTCTATATTTTGGAAATTTTGCATTAAATCTGTCAACCACGCTGTCATGGTCGAGGTTGCTTCACCTATCACGATGTATTCCAACCATCATGAGGCTATCTAAGTGAGCATTTGTCATAACAGAACGCAAATTATTTTTAATTAGTCTCATTGAATTATTATTATTATTATTATTATTGTTATTGTTGTTGTTGTGATAAAAAGTTAAAACAAACAATATGGTGGCTAAACGAAGGGTGCAGGTCAACTCGGCCACAAGTCAACTCGGCCACAGTCAACTCGGCCACAAGTCAACTCGGCCACAAAAATTTCGGCTTCTGCCAACGCGGCCACAAGTCAAATCGGCCACAAGTCAACTCGGCCACAAATCAACTCGGCCACAAGTCAACTCGGCCACAAGTTATTTAATGTAAATCTAAGTTTTTGCATCCTTTTTCTTCAATATATGATTGAAATAAAGTACACAGTATGTTTTAGTAAAACAGGACCACCACACTACCAAAAGAGATTTGAATGCTTTTGCCTATGAATTAAAAAGAGTTATTTATTAATGTGTTCGTCTTCTGTTTACTCACAACATTCTACTTCAACAATAATATTAAACAACAATAACGACAATAAATTAGTAATATTTACATTAATAATACTAATTAGTCATGACGATAATAAATGTAATAACAACAACAACATTAATAGTAATATTTATTTTAACAAATAGTAATAATACTAGTATGGTAATAATAACGATATTTAAATATCAATTTTAATAACTAATTAGTGATAATAACGATATTGAAGGTGATAATAGCAATAATACAACAATAAGAAATTTAAGATAATGTTTATTTTTATAATAATAGTAATACTAATTAGTAATAATAATAATAATGATACTTATAATACTAGGCCTACTTAGTAATAATAGGGTAGTAATATCGATAATAAAGGTGACAACAACAACAATATGAGAAAAATACTAATAAAACGCCAATAAAAACAACTTTTTAAATTACTATTATTAAAATTATAATACTAAGACTAATAAATAATAATAATATGAATAATAATAATAAAAAATCGAAAATTATTTATTATTTATATGGTACTATAAATATATGTACTATATATATATAATTGCTGCGAAGCAGCCAATTCATATTCTTGACAGCAATTTGACCTCTGAAAGGTCAT